CTAAATTCATGTATAACTTTTAGAATAATGTTAACAATACTGGTAACAGTTGCTTCAACAGAGAGAAGTTTTTCAAAACTAAAATTAATAAAATCTTATCTCTGATCAACCATGTCACAAGAAATATTAAATAGATTAGCTATATTATCCATTGAAAAAGATATATTAGCAAAACTTGAATATAAAAATTTAATCAATATTTTTGCATCTCAAAATCTAGAAAAATAGCTTTTAAATGAATATATTTTAATAATTATTGACCATTAATAGGGCACCACTTATATTCTCGCCTAAGGCCTCCAGATTTGTTGGGCTGCCCTTGATGTCAGTTGTCTTGTTTTTAGCATAAGAGTTACGTGGAGATCAGCTGATTCCCCACCGACCCAATCAATTGGAAACTAAGGTGATGTTTGATTAACTTGAATGCTGAACATTGAAAACTGAATGTTGAATTTTAAGTGTTGAATACTGAATTTTTCAATTTGTAGACTGTTTAGTATCAACTAAAATTTAAATATTGCATTGAATCAAACTGTTTGATAAATATAAAGAGTTGAAGACTAAAATTTTTTATTATTCTAATTTTGTCCTTCTTTTTTTATCATTTTTCCGTAACTACCTTATTCCTACCACCACCATCATGATGGTGGTTGTGGTGGTGATGACAACAATAGTGGGAGTGGCGCCAACACAATGGTGGTGACGATGGTGGTGGTGGAAGTGGTAGTGGTAGTGGTAGTGGTAGTGGTAGTGGCAATGGGGGGGGCGACACAATGGTGGTGGCAATAGTGGTAGTGTTAGTGGCACAATGGCAGTGGTGTCATAATGGAAGTGTTCAATTATGAGAAATTAATAAAATCTTTACTGACTAACATTTTAAGCATTAAGTGATAAGTAGGTGATTTGTTACTTAAAATTTTAGTCTATTTTTAAAAAATACTTAAAATATTAAGTGATATGAGTTTTAAGTTATCAAACGAGTTTAATTCATTAAGTGCTTAAAGTATTCAATTTTAAGCTTTAAGTGGTATTATCAAACACCCCCTAAGTCCTAAACTTCAGAGTTACAAGCTACACAAAGAGAAATCCCAACTTAGACATCTGGTTTGAGAAGGTCAGCGTTCACCGTTGTCCTATGTTTGTTGTTACTTTTGCAAAGGGCCAACTCGCTAATGCCGTGTTTTAGGGTTATGACGAGCTAACCTCTGAATGACTAAAATGCTCACTATCTTTCCATCGTTTGATTCTGAGAAAAAAATGTTCTAATATTTGACATTAATTCTATTACAATAAGAATATGAGGCGAACTTATATATAACATAAATGCAAAATAAGAACTAGTAATAATTTTGTGTTTGAAGACACTTTGTAATACTAAAAATTGATCATTAATCGTACAAAGTTTATATTTTAAATAGAAATTTATTAATTTTATAATTTAAATTAGAGTGGATAGAGAGAAAATAAAGAGAGGTAGGGATAGAGGAAAGAAAGATAGGTATGGGTTATTGGAGTTGTCAATATTACAGAGTGCATTGATTGGATTGTTTAATATTGGGGACTATGTATAGAAGATAATGGACCTGTTTGGAGCTAGTTTTTATAGTTGAAAAGCTAGGGTTTAAAAAGTTTCGTAAAAAAGTCTCCCAAAAACCATTTGAGGTTTTCTTTGAAAAACTGAAAAAGTTGAAAAAGTTTGTTTAGAGTGACTTTTTGGTTTTTTTGGGTTTTTTTTTTGTCAAAATAAAAAAATAATTAAATGGATGTATAAATTATGCATAATTGTTGCTAAAATATGAATTTCAATTTTTTACGTCACTAATAACATTATATGATACTCGCAATAAAACTCTAAAAAATTGGAAGAAAAATTCATAAAATCAACTTCTTGAATCAACCTAAATAATTTTTTTTTTTTGGGTTTAAGAAACTATTGCATAAGCTAGTAAAAAAACTAAAGTCAAACAAATATAACTTATTTTACTCCAAAACCCTTAAAAATTATCTATTTAAATTAGCTGTAAACATGCTCAATTTTTTTTGGCAAGAAAATTCTTTTTTGAACGAATTTTATACTATTAGATAAAATTAGATAAATTTTAATTATTGTTAAATTTTTACAATTATATATGATGATGATAGATTTAAGTTTGGGCTTTCTCTAAAGCCCAAAACCCTTTAGGCTCATTTAAGACGACCCTAAGTGCCTCATCTAAGCAGTGCTCATCGAGCCCGATCTGGACTGCAGCCCAACCGCATAGAAGCCCACAATAAACCAGATTGGAATAGGTGACAGTTCGATATCGTCAAGTTCAGCACATGTATCAGCTCCAGAATTGGGAGGCACTAAGCTATTCATCAAAAGCTGTATAACGACACGTGAATAGGGGACAATGCCTGAAAATCATAATGAATAAATATCCACCGATAGTAGAGATAACTCACGTATTTCATTCAAGACGTACTAGGTGCAAAAAAGCGTCAGAGATGGCAGATTCAGCAATAAGACAAACGAAGAGAGGACCACAAAATCAGCCAGAAAAGGAACCACCATTAAACCCTAACGACGGGATGTATAAATAGCTAACAACACTATAGAGAAGAGGGACTCAGCCATAACCTAGACAATATTCGATAAAAGGCTCCTAGCTAATTTACCTTGTAACAACAATCTTTTTTTTCAAGTAATACAATTCTCAAGGAATAAGAGCCTCCATTATAGTAGACACAACCTTAATCCTTTGGTTAGAGTGAACTATTCACATTGTCTTTATCTTGCATTTAACTCTTAACACATTCACATTGCTTAATCTTTCAGTTAGGGTAAACCATTCACATTGCTGTCTTAACACATTTTCCATCACACACACATTCACGTACTCTAGGGGCCTTACCCCAAACTATTCTATAGTTAGGTTCTCGACCATCAATATACTTCAAATTAAACCTTCCGTAATGTACTTCAAATTACTAGGTATAATATCAGTTAGCAATTGACAAGATTTGCAATATTAGCCATTTTAAATTTTGAATTAATCGAAGAGGGGTACCTCTTTGTACGGAAGAGGACAAATGTATTACTTTTTTTCAAATTACAGACCAGCTGGGATTGTTTTGAAATACTATTAGAATAATTTGGATTGTTGATCAACTTCCAGACAAGTGCATATGACCCACACATGCACCTCACAATCATGGAGGTCCACCCACTGCTATCATCACTTGCCAGTTGCCACACTCAAACACATATAATTCCACAGATAAAAACAAAAAGGAGATAAATTATATAAACATAATCTATATTTATATTATAAAAATTCTGTGCCATTTGAAAATTATATATATATATATATATATATATATATATATATATATATATATATATATATATATAGATCTATTTTTTTTATAGGGTGTTCAGACTTATACAAACTATTCCTTGAATTGAATAGTTACCACCGTGATTTAAGGTGGATTAGAGCATGTCCTTAAGGAATAAAGGTGGCTGAACCTTAAGCGGTGTGAAAAAGAATTGAATCTAAAACCTCTAAGTTATCAAAAACTAGACTCAATCACTTGTTGAAAAGATGTTCTTTTAATTACGAGATACAAGGATTAATCAAAAAATTTTGAATTCTATGTCCCAAACTTTGAGGTTTTACTTATTGTGTCTTCTTTCAAACTTCTTTTATTAGAATTTTCTCATCACAATCATGGTGGTAGCCGTGATGGTCGTGAGGGGTGGTGGTAAGGCAATAGGAGTAGTGGTGGTAGGGGGTGATGGTTGGACAGTGATGGTGGTGGTAAAGTGGTGGGTGGGGGTGGAGGTGACAGTTGTGGTGGTGGGGATGGTGGTGGTGAGGTGGTAGGGATGGTGGTGGTGGTGGAGTGACAACAGTAGTAATGGTGACAGTGGTTATAGTAGGGAACAATGGTGGAAGTAATGGTTGTGGTGGCAGAGATGGTGGTAGGACAGTGGCGGTGGTGGTAGTGGGTGTAATGGGGATAGTGGTGGTCGGGCGATGGTGATGGTGGTGGGGGTGGCAACAGTGTTGGTGGTGGTGGGGTGGCAACAGTGGTGATTGTAAGGGATAGTATGGTGACAACAACAATGGTGATGATAAGGGGCAGGAGGTGGTAATAGTGTGGTGGGGTGGTGGTGACATTAGTGGTGGTGGTGGGGTGGCAATAGTGGAGTGGTAGTGTAGTGGTAGTGGTGATGATCGATGATGATGGGGGGTAGTTTGGTAGTGGGGTGGGGTGATGGTGGTGGTGGGGGGGGGGGTGATGGTGGTGGTGGAGATAGGGGTGATAGTGGTAGTGGTGGTGGTGGGGTGATTCTAAATACTATTATTTTTTTAAAATATTTATGAGAAATTATAAGTATTAAAATCACTTTTATAAAGTTATTCCAAACACATCTTTAGGGGTTCATTTTTCATATTAAATTTAAAGTGTTAATATTGGTCGTCGGATTAACTTTAAAGTAAAATTAAAAGAGATCTCAACCGTGAATAGTAAAAATTATTTTGTTTATCTTTTAAAATTTGAATTGTATTGTACTTTATTATATAGATTGTTCTAAATTGTATCAGTTAATTGTGCACTAAATTTAAAATAGTGGTTTATATATATATATATATATATATATATATATAATCATAATTTCTTTAGATTCATGATTATAATTTAAACTTTGGATTCACAACGAGCTACTAACTACATGTATTAATAAACTTGAATTTTATGCGGTGGTGTAATTCGAATTCGAAACTTATAAGTTTATGACTCGACTCTTGTTTTACCAAAATCAAAGGGTCATTGTGAGATTTACATATTTAGATGGTACAGTAAAGACTAAGAATCCTGTATTTTTGCTAAAAAAATGGTTGTTACCAGCAGTTACTTACAACAAGTATTATGCGATAAAGTAACGTTGTGTATGATTCGTGACTCTTTTTTCTTAAAGAAACAAACTATAGAGGATGACATGCTTATTTCCTGTCTGTTTCAAACATCATACATGTTACAACCAACCCATGTTCTGATTTCTCTCTCATATTGGAGAACTCCCATTTCCAGAACCAACACATTCCAGTGATCTCTTCAAAGATTTTTCAAATTTCAGTCTTACAGGTGAGGGAAATATTGAATCTCTCGATCCCAAATCCTATTCTATTTGCCATTTTTGTTTCCATTTCCCCCTGTTTTCTTGTGATTCTTGCTGGTTCAGATCTGTTTACGTGCATCTTTTGCTTGAAGAAAAAGTTGGTTCAAGTAAAAAAGATTGGTGGGTTTTGATTTTCCACTCCATCTTCATGGCTCTTGTAGTGTGATTCAAGAAATTCCAAAAGCCCAGATGGGTTTGGTGAGGTAAGTCGATGTTTATGCTACAACTATTGAGGAACTTAGAAATCTGATATCAAAATATGCTCGTTCTGAATCTATACATGCCAAACGTATATATTTTTGTCGATTTGCTCGGATAGAAAGTCATTAATGTGATTGGAGATTCTCAAGATCTCTTTTGTGAATTGTTCTAGAATTGTTGTTGTTGTTGGTGGTTGTTCAAGCTGGAATTGTCTTTCTTTTCTTGAAGAAGAAAAAGAACAGAAGGTCTGGGTTCTTAAGAGGGTTGAATGATGAAGGTCCAGGGCATGTGGGGTTTATGTCTAGTTCTTCTGGTGATAATGTTCGTGTATGCTGTAATTGGAGAAGCTCAGATAGCATCTTTTCTGATAAATTGTGGTACAAATTCAACTGTTAATGTGGATGGTAGGAGATGGGTTGGTGACTCGAACCCTGGCAACAATGTCACCCTGAGTTCTCCTAGTATTGAGGCCTCCACCGCCACCTTCAATGGAGACTCGTTCTATTCACCACTCTATAAAACTGCAAGAATTTTTAGTGATAGTCTGAATTATACAATTCAGGGAACTCCGGGAAATTATTTTCTTAGGCTTCATCTCTATCCCTTCTCCTTTGAGAAATACAATGTCAATGATTCTTCTTTTGCGGTTGAGGCCAATGGCCTGACATTGGTTTCAGAGTTCAATGTCCCTGGTGAAATTTTGCACAAGAATACATATCTGCAAAATTCAGGAGGCAATTCAAGTTTGTCTTTTTTGCTGAAGGAATTTTTCTTCACTACTAATGCCAATAGCATTGTTCTCGAGTTCCATCCAACTAAAGGGTCCTTTGGGTTTATTAATGCGATAGAAATTGTCCCGGTTGATGATAAGCTGTTTGTTGACTCTGTAAACAAAGTGGGTGGAAATGGTGGAAATAGTTCTCTGAATTTAGGCAGACGGGGGGTTGAGACTATGTACAGATTAAATGTCGGGGGTGCATTGATCAAACCTGCACAGGATCTGGATCTTAGGAGAGTTTGGGAAGTGGATTCAAGTTATATGATCACTGCAGATGCTGGGTCAGGAATCAGAAACAGTTCTAACATTACTTATGCTTCCCCTAATGACACCTCGGTGGCTCCGCTTCTGGTGTATGAAACAGCAAGAACTATGTCCAACACTCAAGTCATGGAGAAGAGGTTCAACATGTCATGGAAATTTGAAGTGGATCCTGATTTTGATTATCTAGTTCGTTTACATTTTTGTGAGCTTGTTTATGATAGGGCAAATCAAAGGACCTTCCGAATCTACATAAATAATCGGACTGCAGCAAACAACTTTGACATTTTTGTGCGAGCAGGAGGAATGAACAAGGCATATCATCAGGATTATTTTGACATGGTGTCGTCAGACATCAGCACTCTTTGGATACAACTGGGCCCTGACACCACAACCAGTGCTGCTGAAACTGATGCTCTCTTGAATGGTTTGGAGATATTCAAGCTGAGTAGAAATGGGAATCTTGCTCATTTACGGCCATACGGGAATCTGGGAGAGCATAAAACTTCAAAGGGTGTAATCTTTTGGTTGGGAATCGGAGCAGGTGTGGCTTCTGTTGTCGTTCTCACAGCTGTAGTTATTATGATTGTTTGTTTCTGCAAAAAGCGCAGAAATAAACAGAATGACACCAAGGAGAACCTGCCAGGATGGCGGTCTTTGTTCCTTCTTGGGGCTGCTACAAATAGTACTGCTAATGCCAAGGCATCAACAGAAAATCAAAATCCATATGGGTCTGTGGCCACTGTTAGATCTCGCAGACGCTTTACATTGGCAGATATTAGATCAGCTACCAATAACTTTGATGAAGGTTTAGTGATTGGAGTAGGAGGATTTGGTAAGGTGTTCAAAGGGGAGATTGAAGGTGGCACTCTTGCAGCGATTAAGCGAGCCAACCCCCAATCGCAGCAAGGCCTAGCTGAATTTGAAACAGAGATTGAGATGCTTTCAAAGCTAAGGCATAGGCATCTGGTCTCCATGATTGGGTTCTGCGACGAACAGAATGAAATGATTTTGGTATATGAGTATATGGCTAATGGGACACTTCGGAGTCATCTCTTCGGGAGTGACCTTCCACCACTAAGTTGGAAGCAACGATTAGACGTGTGCATTGGTGCTGCTCGAGGATTGCATTACCTTCATACAGGATCAGAGCGGGGAATCATCCACAGGGATGTGAAGACAACAAACATATTGTTAGATGAGGATTTTGTGGCCAAAATGGCTGATTTTGGGCTGTCAAAAACTGGTCCTTCTCTGGAGCATACACATGTTAGTACCGCAGTAAAAGGAAGCTTTGGATATCTTGACCCAGAATATTTCAGACGGCAGCAGTTGACAGAGAAATCCGATGTTTACTCATTTGGTGTGGTGTTGTTTGAAGTTGTCTGTGCACGAGCTGTCATTAATCCAAGCCTGCCAAAAGATCAGATCAATCTTGCAGAATGGGCAATGCGTTGGCAGCGGCAGAGATCACTTGAAACCATTATAGACCCCCAACTCCAAGGGAACTATTCTCCAGAATCATTTATGAGATTTGGGGAAATTGCAGAAAAATGTCTTGCTGATGAGGGTAAGAGCCGGCCAACAATGGGGGAAGTTCTGTGGCACTTGGAGTATGTCTTACAAGTTCATGAAGCTTGGTTGCATGGCAACGCTGGAGAAAACTCCTTTTCTAGCAGTCAGGCTTTGAGGACTCTTGCGGACAGACAAGCTGAGGCACAGGAAGTTGCAATTTCGAATGTAGAGGCTTGTTCAGAACCAAAAGTGAAAAAGGATGGTGAATATACACCTGGAACTGACAAATCAGATGCTCTGGTTGTTGGAGTCGACGAGTTTTCACAGCTGGTAAAGCCACAGGGAAGGTGAGAATTGAGTGCTAGAGATTTATAATCCAAGGCTGCGTGCATCTAACCCACTCCAGACCGGGAGCTTCGTGGACTGGGCACGCCAGATATCCATGCTGTTATAGGCCTTAAATTCTTTTAAATGTTTTCTTTCTCAAGTTCATTAAAACTTGAATTCCCTGTTATGTTACTCAAGTAAAAAAAAGAAAGTGGGGGTGTGGAGTATCTAGGGTGCATGGCAATGTCTCCATTAATTGTGATTTTTCTCTTTATTTAGCTCTGTGATTTTGTTTATTGGGGTTCTTCCTTGGCTCACTAATTTTCTTTTATTCTTTTGAGGTTTGGGTGCGATTGCAATAAAATGATACGTTTACTTCCAGGATAATTATGCATATTCATTTTGATTCTTCTGTTGGTCATCCATTTTTCACTCTCGTAGCTTTTAGGAAGCTTTCAGTATGGGGGAGGTGGTCAATGATATCTGTGAAAGACTTTTGTAATGTGTTTCCTACGAGGGAAAACGGAAAATAGACGATGAAATTTGAACTCGCGATCTTAACGTCTAACAGCGGATCGATGCACTAACCTCTTCACAAATCATAAACTTAAACTTTTGCTGTCACTTTTCCCTTGATCAATACTATTTTTAGGTAGTGAAAACAGGTGGAGTGTTCTGACATCCGATGTAATCTGAGTACTCTGATTCAACTTCCAAATTATCGGAATTTTATTAACTCTCTACCCTATTTTCTAAATGGGACAAATTACATCTACCTTCCATCACGTTTGGTCAAATAACAAGTAGAACCCCTCTTATTTGGAAAATAACACTGCCCTTATGTTATTGTTGTTCCCCCAATTGTTACACTACTGTTAGGGGGACGTCAAGTATTTCATGATGTAACCAATTAATTGTTTTGAAATTCGAACATTGCCCTCATGGAACCCACGTTCGTTTGAAAATGCAATAAATTTACTAAACCACACGAGAGGCAGTTGTAAAAACTGTTGTTGGGATCCCTTACATATGCCAAAGCAGATGTGTTATCCTAATATACAAGTTGCCAAACAGCTTCCTGGACAGCTACTGTACAAGCTCCACACTCTAACTCCATCGTGGACAGGGCAATGCAAGTCTGCTTTTTAGCGCACCAAGAAATAGATCCACCTCCTAGGGTGAATGCGTAACCCAATGTGGATTTACGCTCATCTTTGTCGTTAGCCCAATCAGCATCGTTGTAACATCTCAGTCTAAGATCTCCACTACGATAGCATAAGACGATGTTAGCGGTCCCACGAAGGTATCAAAGAATCCTCTTTACCCTTTTTCAATGAGCAAGTCCAAAATTACTTTGATAGTAACTGACCATACCAATTATGTAGCAGATGTCTGGTTGAGTACACGACATAGCGTACATCAACCTCTCTATCGCTGCTATATAAGGCACTCTGGATACTTGATTCTTTTTCTCATCTATCTTAGGGCATTGATCTAAGCTTAAGCATATCCCTTCTCCATTGGAGTGTCTATGAGTTTTGAGTTATGCATGTCAAAACGCTCAAGGATCTTCTTAATGTAAGTCTCTTAAGACAAACTGAGAAATCTCTTTGAACGATCTCTCACTATCTTAACTCTAAGTACATAGCTTGGCTCATCCGTGTCCTTCATTTCAAAAGCAGAGGACAACCACTCTTTAGTGGCGATAATGGTCTCCATATCATTCCTAGCTAAAGGATGTCATCAACATACAATGTGAGGATACGAATACTCTTCTTGGATCATTTAACATATACGCAGTGGTCTTCTTCAATCATCTTAAAACCAATAGAGGTGATTGAGTGATGAAACCTTAAATACCACTGCCTAGACGATTGCTTAAGGCCATAAATAGAATGTTTGAGTCAACAAACTTTGCGCTCTTGTCCCTTTACTCAAAATCAATCGGTTGATTCATATATGTCTCTTCATCTATTTCTCTATTGAGAAATGTAGTCTTAACATCCATTTGGAAAAGTTCTAAATCTTGTTGTGTGACAATAGCTAGGATTAGGCGAATAGAGGCAAATCTCACCACCAAGGAGGACCTTATAATTTTCAATTGAACCATTTGCCTTGCATTTAATTTTTAAGACCCATTTGTTTTCAATGGTCTTATGCCCAGGTGGAAGGTCAACTAACTCCCAAACCTTATTCTGAGCCATTGAGCTCATCTCATCATGCATAACAGCTAATCACTTATTCTTAGTAGATGAAGAAAGTTATTCCATAATAGTAGTAGACTCTTCCTCATTGATCAGGGAACACATGAAAACATCCCCTTCAATCTTAAAATGATGACAAGAAATATGTCCACGCTCACTCTTGCACACTTGAGAATCTTGTAAATCTAGCGGTATACTCCCATTATTTGGTAGACTCCCACAAGGATGAAGATCACCATCACTAACCATAAATGGTAAGAGATCTATATGTTCCACCAATTCATAGAGGTTAAGATTTTTACTAGTATCGCCAATGCTAGGAAAATCCGTCTCAATGAAATTGATATCGCGTGACTCCACTTCAGTCTTTCCTCCATTCGGGTTCACCATACATCCCATATCCCTTTGAGCTTTCTGAATACCTTATAAAGATATACTTACTTGCTCTATGGCCTAACTTTCCATACTTATGTGATATATTGTGCACATGACCAGCCAAACCCCATGGGCACAAATGCCCCAAATTAGGCTTTCTGCCATGCCACAACTCATATGGGGTAGAAGAATTGACTGAGAAGACACTCAGTTAAGTATATAGGCAGCGGTTAATAATGCATCCCCAAAAAAAGATACTGGGAGATTGGCCTGTGCCATTATTAACCTAATCATATCCAATAATGTCCTATTCCTTCTCTCCACTACACCGTTTTGTTGGAAAGTACTAGGAATAGTAAGTTGTCTATGTATCTCTTTTTTCACACAAACCCTTAAACTTATCAGATAAATATTTGCGTTCACGGTCTGTGTGAAGAGCTTTTACACTATTTTCTATTTGATTCTCAACCTCAACTAAGAAAATTTTGAAACAATCCAATGCTTCATGGTAATGAGCTATCAAATAGATGTAACCATATCGCGTGTTATCATATATCAGGATAAGGAAATAAGAGGCGCTATGACGTGTCTTCACATTCATTGATCCACAAATATCAGAGTGGATAAGTTCTAGTGCTTAGTAGCTCTAAAAGCCTTGCCAAAAGGCTTTGTGCATGCTTTACCTGCCAAACAAGACTCACATATAGGTAGGTTGACTTTAGCGAGTGAGCCTAAAAGGCATTCTGAAGCGAATAGGGTCATCCTATCTTGTCCTGTATGTCCTAGCCTTGTATGCCTGATAACAGAATCAAGATCTTTATTAACATTAGTCATATAAGAATATGAGGAAACATAATCAACCATATCAACTTTGAAGAAACCATCCACAAGAAAACCATGTCTAAATACAATACCATCTACTAATATGTCCAACCTATCACCATAGAAATTAAATAGTACCCTAAAGCTAGAAGTGATAAAACTAAAAGTAGATTATGTTGCACTCCAGGTGCATAAATCACATCGTGTAGAAGCAATGTACGCTCTGTGAGCAATGAGAGCTGTACGAACTAACTCCAAATACTTCTTCACTTGTGCCATTTTCCATATATACTCTTTGGGCACTAGCTGGAATGCGACGATAATCTACGAACCCTACTAGATCTCGAACTATATGTTTAGTTGCTTCGGTATCAACAATCCTCATAGGATAAGTGTGAGCAACTAATACATGTGTGCATACACAAGCACAAGAATTGAGAGAATCAAGGATAAAAGATACCTTATTTGGCTCAATGGACTCACAAATGAAATGTCCCAACTTTTCATAGTTATAACATTTCATATTGCTCTTGTCTTTTTCCCACCACGCTTTCTTCTGTAGTGTTTGGTAATCTTGCCTGCCTTGGGTGCAAACCTACTAGCCCCATCATGCTTTGCCCTATTTGCCTTGTCCTTTGAACCTATCATATTGCTTGCCACCCTGGGCGACAAAGGGCAGTGGTATAGTCCACCTCTTGGAACTCTGCCTCTAGCTCCACATGACGAGAGATGTCAGCAAAATTTTTAATGTTGTCATTGTGGTTCATGATTTATCACCTCTTGGAACTCTGCCTCTAGCTCTACATGACGAGAGATGTCAGCAAAATTTTTAATGTTGTCATTGTGGTTCATGATTATTTCATGTGAGTCCAGGAGTCAGGCAGACATCTAATAATAGCTTGGACTTGCTATTCATCAATGAGCTCATTCTTTGCAGCTCTCTACTCATGAATCATATTAGACATCACCCTAAGATGCTCAATCATCTTGTGTCGAGAATCCTTTTTATAAGTCTCAAAATTAAGGATAAGTGCCCTAAGTCTAGTGGTAGAAGTACCACCATCGACAAATTACATATGGTTCCACATCTCTTTGGCAGTGGGGTATATCTCAAACTTCCCAAAAAGATCATCGTGTATGCTACTAAGCATGACATAGTGCGCAGTTCAATCTTTGTTATCCTAAGCCTAGTAGTCGTCAAGATTTCGACAGTGTTAGGCCATGGACCCATACTCAAGTCGGGTCATTGAACTGGTCAAGTGTTCTAGGAGCTCTTGCTCATTCAACAGGTAGTTTATATTTCAGTGCCATATGTCATAGTTGGTCCCATCCAATTTGTCACCCCTAGTAAGGTCAGTAACTACACTCTTAGTGGCCATTTGATCACTACATGGATATGTGAAAGTTCGACATTATTTAATTTGTTCCAAAAACCAAATTGAAAAATATTATCCTTTCTCACATAATAAAATCGAAAATGTGCCGAAAAACTCATAATCATCTCCCATGCATGTGAGTTAGGAATAATTTTCAATTATTTTTTGAACAAATTTATCTTTGGAGGATCTAACATCTCCCACTATCTCCACATGACCATAATTAAAATTGCCATATTTACATCCAAATCATTGCGCCAACACAACAAAATGCGCAAGGGCTCCATTGAACTCAATTGGCATTATTAAGCTTAGACCAAGAAAAATTCTACATGTATAATGTGCAACATGAAACACATCATCTTACAAGGCTTCAATATAATAATATAACCCTTTGATTACATTTCCAACCAACGTCTACTACAATCTAATCAAAACAATAATGGGGAAACCGCGCTTCATATTATACATAGCAGAATAATTCTTATTTCAAACATCACGCAAACATAAGCTTACAAATAAATAATCCCAATTTTTAATCAATCATCCATTTATCCTAAAATTAACATGATAGCATATAAACCTTCTAGAAAAAAAAAACATGCT